GCCTCGGAGCTGGAAATGGGGCTGGGGGGGCGGGGTAGGGGCTCCTGCAGCACCGCTCACCCAGCACCAGCCCCGGTACCCGCGGGCACTGCCCCATCACTCACGATGATCACGCGGCACACGTGCCCGCGGCACAGCTCTGAGTAGGACGCGTAGTGCATGTAGGCCACCCAGCTGCCCACGAAGATGCCCAGCCACAGCACCAGCAGGTACTTCACCTTGATGCCCGGGAGGCGGCTCTGCAAGGACAAGAAAACGCTGGTGAAGGCTGGGGCTGTGCCCAGGTCGTTGTCAGCCGGACAAGGACAACAACTTCCTTGTTGTACAACCCAACCTGAGCTCTGGTGAAACCTTCAGCCTATTTTATATAGATTCACCAGTCTATTATGCAACTCCTGCTGCAAGTAGGTCATTTAAAATTCCCTAAAAGCAGGGAGATTACAGCGGTGGGCTGCAGGGAGCTGGATGCTGTGCATCCCTCGGCAGGGGTCGTGTGCTCCTGCTCTGCTGCCAGTGCAAGAGCAGAGCCTGCTGCCTCTGCATCCGTGGGTGCAAGAGGCTCTGCTCCTCCTGGGTACCCTTCCCAGTGGTTCCCCCTTTTAACAGCCCCATGGACACGGGAGGCAGCCAGCAGCAGCATGGGAGCAATGGGTGAGGAACCTGCAGTGCCTGGCGCTGCTCTATGCAAACAACATGAGGCTCCCAGGGGGGTTTGGGTGCTGCCGTCTGCCCTCCTGCAGCACAGGGTGTTTACCTGACCCATGCAACATGGCACAGAGCCCTGGCAGTTACTAAGGGCAGGGAATGAATCCTTGCATCAAGCACCCCATTCCCTCTGGTTTCAACAGCTAATTCCTGCTTCAAGAGAGCCCTTGGCCAGAGGCTACCTCCAAACCTCTCTCCTGGCACTGCGTCAGTGGTGAGAACACGACCTGCTGCTGGGATAGGGCTGGATCTAACACCATTACAACCTGCCAGGGATCCCTGCTTGGTCTTGCAGCCCAAAACTGCTCCCACCTCCAAAATGCCTCATCCCTGCCCCTTGCCGAGCGCTGTGAGAGCTCTGCCCTGCAGCAGTACCCGGTGGTGGTGGAGCCTCCTGCCCTCCTGCCACAGCAGCTCGGGGTGAAAGCAGGCAGGTCTGCTCGGGATTGTTCATTGCAAATGCATGTTAATTGCAAAGTGTGAAGCAGGCCACGATGCCCGGTTTGCCATCGGGCCGTGGCACTGGTGACAAAGGCCTGGTGAAGAGAACCCGACCACAGCAAGGACTTGGCAGAGACGAAGGGTGGGCGGCTGCTCCTGTGAGCCAAAAACCAGCACATGTGGTTTTCCAGAGGTCCATGAACTCGGACATAGACCACTGGGACCTGTGAGACCCCCCCAGTGCAGCAGCCCCCCTAAAACTGCCCAGTGGTGGGTACATGACCCACTGCTCTGGGAACAGGAGGCTGTTTCATGGTGGGCCTCACTGGTGGGGATGC